TCTTCAAATTGACTGGAATTTTCTACTATCGAAAGATAACAATGGCAAAAGCGATAGCTGCTATCTATGATGCTTTCGTATATTCAATGAATTTGCTAAATTTAGCGCTGATGTGAAAGGCCAAAAACCCAACAATTGAAAATATTTTTATTTTTAGACTCATTCACGAAAGTGAAATGAGTATATTGGTTTTGTGCAATGTCCGTCTTGCTGTCCGTCCGTCTGTCCGTCTGTCCGTCTGTCCGTATGAACGCAATCTATTTCGGCGCTATTGAAGCTAGAGACTTGAAATTTGGAACACATACTCGTGTATATCTCCGATTTATAAAGTGTTAAAATTTTCCCGATCCGCCTACTAGGGGCGTGGCAAATCGGAAAATGCATTTTCCGATATACCAGAAATCATGTTTGTTGAAGAGCTAGAAAGCTGAAATTTGGTATGTAGTTCCGCGCCGACCACCCAAGATCACAAGCTATGGCGGATATATCTCCGCCCATTAGGGGCGTGGCAAATCGGACAAAACTGTATCTCCTAAAGTTATAAACTTAGAATGCTGAAATTTTGCACGTAAGCTAATGTTTTAATTCTATGAAGATGGGTGAAAAAATTATATATCTACGCCCACTAGGGGCGTGGCAAATCGGACCTGAAGATATAGTGATTTTTCGAATTCTGCTATATTTTAGGCACTATTGATGCTAGAGATCTGAAATTTGGTATATATACGCGGGTTGATCAGCCAAGTCCAACGAGCTATGGTAGATATATGTCCGCCTATAGGGGGCGTGGCAAACCGCAAAAGTTTATATCTCCTACAGTTTAAGAGCTAGAAGCTTCAAATTTGGATAGTTAAGTTACTGGTGGCCTCCTCTATCGATGCCCCAAAAATAATTTTTAAGCCTCTTTAGGGGCGTGGCATATCGAAAAATACCCTGTAATTTTCACATTTTTTGAGCGTAAGAATTCAAATTTTGCATTTAGGTAACCGGTTGCTCGTTCTAAGAACTGGCTAAAATTGAGGAGTCGACGGCCACTAGGGGCGTGGCAATCGGCATTTACAGTGCCCGAATTGCGACATTTATATGCGTCAGTCATCTATTTATGTATATGTACACATAAGTAGGCTTATAGGCATTGATAGCACGGAAGGAAACATTTTTATAAAATTAATAAAATATAAAAAAGCTAAAATAACAAAAATTTGCAATTTACAAAAAATTGTTTTCAGCGGGATTTGAACTCGCACCCAACCCAAACAGCATGTTTGTCAAAATAGCTAAAATAAAGATCGCCGGCGCTTCAGCCTACAGCACCACCGCGTCGTCTCGATCAATAGTAGTTAAAATGAAATCACATTATTGTTATGACGCCACATAGCAAAGAAAAGCCAGAGTGGTGGCTGGAAATTCAAAAACAATGCAAAGACAAATCAATCGCAACGGGATTCTTAGAATATGCTAGAGCACGCATTTATGTGTACATACATACACACATACAAATGAGCGCGTGTATAAGGCTGGAATGCTTGATGCTATGCGCGCAGGCAAACATATATAATTATATATACATATGTATGTATTTGCGTATATGTATTTGAGGGCTATTTAAGAAGAACAAATTTAAACTTATAAAATTATTCGACTAAGAAAATGAAAAGTATTAAGTGCCATTCAGTCAAGCTCGCAATTTCCCAATAAAATATCTATTTTATAAAAAACGAAATATGTATGAAAAAAAAAAAATAATAATAACATAGTAGAGGTTCGAACCTCCCCTACTCTAACATTACTTGCGTCGCCCTTAGCACCCGCGCCACTGCTCTGCTCAAGCAGTCAGTTGCTAAAATAGAATAGCTTAATAAGAGAGCGTCATCAGACAAAACTACAGTAACGGCTAGAAAGTCCAGAAATCAATCGAAATTCTAAGAATGTGAGAAAAGGCGCGCTTCTGTCTGTACGCATAGAATAGACGATGAGTGTGTGCACAAGCATAGGAAAATCGCGCTGATCTGCTGTTAGCTTGAAGCCGGTATCCAATGTATGGATATAAATACATATATAATAAAAATCAAAATTGTATAAATTATATATGTATGTAATTTGAATGCAATAGCTATCGATGATTTTCCAATTTTAATGGCAAAATGCCGTGTTTTTTGCTGCGCACTAGACTTGAAAATTGCACTATATACTCTGGTTGACAGCGTTTGGGCTGTGAATGAGTCTTCTGCAATCGGTATCGCCCGACTGCAACGTTCTTACTTGTTTTATTTGTGTTTTCTTTTCAATCTGTCTAAGCAATTACCAAATTTACTATAGTTGAAGATACAAAAAAGAATTTAAACAAATATTTAAATGCATAGTTGGTCGATTCGAAGAGCTACAGTGCTGAACTGCTCATCTCCAGCTGGCAAAAGCAACAAGCGACGTGAATAGACCTCAAGATTGCGGCAGATTGTCGTCGAGTTAGTGGCAATACAATTGAAGCACAGATTGCTGTCGTTGATGTTGTTTATTGTCGCTATGACAACGCGGAAATTGTCTGCCGCACTCAAAGACCTAAAGGGTTGATGGCCGATCAAAGCTTCTAGTATCATCAGCAGCAGCAGCAGCAACAACAACCAGCAATAGTAGCAACAGCAGCAGAAGCAGCAGCAAACAGCAACAACACCAATAGCACATCCGACGCTGTCAGTTGGTTTGGAATCCAAACGTACTTCCACAGCGCAACGAGAATGAACATAATCATTATGGCTGTCCATTGTTGTCGTTATTGTTGCTGCTCTTGTTGTTGTTGTCGTTGTCATCGGTCAGCAACATGTTGTTGCTACTGCTACCTCTGCTGCGGCTGTTGGAGGTGCTGCCTGCCTGCAACGAGTGGGTCCATTGGTCTAGTAAATGCTGTTGCTCCTCTTGTGCACTTTATTGATGTAAACGAGGAACACAAATTTGCATTAGAAGTTCATTAGTGAGTGCGGCTAACCGCGAAGGAAGCTCTAGAAGATGGAAACTAGAAAACTTTACAATTTCATGACATGCGGCAAACAACTGAATGGAAATTACAGCAAAGTAAGGCGAAGAGCAGAGTAGATGCCGTAGATGAGATACCCTCACAAGAGATTGCGAGAACAAAATTTAACTTTATAATTAGATAGTTCAAATCAATAATAATTAAGTTCAAACTTGCTACGATGAACTGTTTAGTTCAGTCAGTCTAGTGCATATTTATACGAATATTTATTTTTAGGTGTAAGGCAAACATAGTGATGATATATAATATATATGTATATGTATGTGACTGAACTGACCGACAAACAAATGGCGGAAACCTTTTGCATTGCATTGATGTATAAAATTTGAAATAAAGCCGTTATTGCTTAACTATACATAAAACTTCAAATATCATATACAACTTTTAATTCTTTTTTTTTTTTTTCGAGATACCATACCGTGTGTCGAATATTCTTTTCATTTTCTGGTTCAAGCATTTTAACAAATCAATAAAATACGCAACATGATGCAAGATTTTAAAGGTAAACTTTCGATAAGCTTCTGCGTAATTATATAAATATACAATACACATATATAAATTTTAAAGTATGTTTAAATGATTTTTCTTGTTTGTGTTTCCTGTTATATTCAAATGGCTATCGAAATTCAAAAAATGATAAAAACAATTTTTGAGTGGAACGTTTTGCAATTTATTGTAAAACTGTTTAATTTTTTTATTTTTAATTTTTAAATTTGCAACTAGTCAACATCAGCAGGACAATAATATAGATATATATACATACATATGTAGTATATATACACATATAGTACAAGGGAAGCAAGCAAGCAACCCCCAGCCAGCACCCACCACTTGTTGCTATGTCAACGCTTTGTTTTCTGTTTATAGATTGCGCTACTTGTTGTTGTCTATGTTGTTATTTGTTTGATTTGTTTGTTTTTAGTCAGCTGCATATAAAGCGGAAGCGAGGGGAAAGAATAAATAATTTCTGAGCATTCGCATTCGAAATGATTCAACCGCTGATAAGGGACAGAGCAATTATTTGCGCCGATTAATTTCCCTTTGGATTCCGAACTATAATTAAAATTTTCCAATCAAGAACTTAAATGATTAAATTTAACTTAGTTCAACTAAGTAATTTATTTTAATTTAAAACGCTAGAAATCAGAAATGTACGAGTGTTTATTTTACTTGCTCATAATTTGATCTGCTGCATAATCAGCATATGCATGTAACCAATTTAAGCTAAATGTTCTATATATACACATATGGGCATATACATACATACATATATATGTATGTAGTCATCTTCTTGCATGTTGCGTAATTGGCGACTCAATTATGTATGCATGCCGCAGACATTCTTGGCCCAAGTGGAATGAACAGAAATTGTAAAAGAGCCGCGCCCCACTGTGCATCCATATTAATTAAAGACTTCCGTTCGAGCTGAGGCCCACGGACGTCTTTTGTTGTAATCATTGTCTTGGCAGACCTATCTGGAAAGAATGGAGGCGATGCAATGGCCAGCGCACACGATGACGGACAATAAACCTAAAGGGGGTTGGCAAGGGGTTGATGGGCTCTAGGTAGCTAGCAGGACTTCAGCGGTTCGCATTTATATGTGAAAAGATCAACTTCTAAGGGATGCTGCACATTTGCATGCTCATAGGAAAAAAATGAATCCTAGCATTTTAACAGAGTCCATTGACCCAATTTATAATTAGCATAAATCAGTGTTGGGAAAATACAAATTATACTACAAAATTGTAGGATACCGTTTCAATTTGCATTGTAATAATATAAAGAATAATAATAAAATAAATAATTTATGTATAAACTTAATAAGAATAATTGAATAAAATTTCGATTTCCTGAAGGATTAATTTCCAAAGTGCGAACTGTCATACCAAAAAGCAACAGCTGTTACCAAAAACATATAAAGCATACATAGACTCAACTCAGATACACATGCAACAATATTTATACTGACCTTTGGCAAATCCCGTATGTGATTCGCATCTAAAAAGAGTTCCTCGAGGGTTCGCGAGTACCGTAAAATTTCCTCCGGCACTTGGGGCAGTGAACAGTGGCGTTTGTCCACGAATTCCACCTGCCTGTTGCAGCCTTTGAAAATTGGAATGCACTTGAACATGGTTGTTGTTGCTGATGATGACGTCTTTCGTGATGGTTGTTGTTGTCGTTTTATTCGTCGTTGTTGCTCTTGTTGCTGTTGCTGTTGTCTTTGCACAACAACAACATACACTTAAATCGTAGCGTTTGCAGCATCTGTTGCGAACGCACACAAATATACAAACGCGCACACACACACGCACGCACACGGAAACAGATAGAGACAGAGACAGGCACGCGCAGTCTTTGTTGCTGGCCTGGCCCTGCACTATGTTTCTTTATTTTCTTCGTTTGTTGTTGTTGGTGTTGTACTTTTGTTGGCTTTATTTTCCGTTTCACTTTTATCGCACACGTTTCGGCAACATTTTGCGCTTATTTACTGCAAATGAATTAAGCATTTAATACATTTAACTTTGCACTATTTGTGTTCGTCTCTGTATTTGTATTCATATTGTATTTGTATTGGTTACGCGCAACGTAAGAGACAACGCAAAAGAAGAAGAAGCAGCTGAAGCACACGCGTCAAAAATGCCTTGCTTTGCCTTGCTATCGACTGTCCTTGCCTAACAGTTATTGTTGTTGTGACTCCAAAGAGAGACAGAGACAGAACGAGAGAGCGGCAGCGTGTGCGAGCGCGCACAGCGACTTCAGGCCTACCATGAGCTGACTGTGCATATGGATATGTGTGTGAGTGAGAATGAGTGAAAGAGAGTAATAAGCAAAATAATGAATAATAATAAATTCTAATTGGCACTTTTGTCTGCTTCTTGAGGCAGCTACTGCTTTTTTGTTTTTTTTATTGTTGTTTCTTTTTTTTGTTGTTTTCGTCCGGCTTTTTTCTTCTCGCACTTTGGTCACATTTTATCACGTTCGCAAGTTTTCATAGTTGGCAACGCAAAACGAAGCAATCGCAACATTTGTTGCTTCTTCCACTACAAACACTCACTCACACACACATTGACAACGCACACACTCAATAACGAGAAAAAGCGAAGCAACAACAAGTCACAATGACACTTGACTAGTGCGCGGCAGCCGCTTGCGAATAGGCTTAGAATGAGAGAATTGTAAAAGAGGGCCCAAAGCGTAGATGATGAAAAGCAACAACAAAAGAAATAGCGACGCACCAAGCACGCACACACACACACACACATAAACAAACGCACACTCATGCATACAGAAACTCCACTTGGGTCAAAAATTTTATCGAAATAAAGAGAATTATAAACACGGCCAACATCGACACACCCAAACACACACACACTCACATACACATTTGAATTTCCAAAGCCGGGCATACGCACTGAAATGATTGTTAGCTCGTGTTTGGTGCCACTGTGCAGCGTGTTTTGGAATTTACACATACAAACGCGCGTACTCAATTCACACACACATGCCCAAACAGACACTGCGCGCCGCTCAACAACAAAATGCTGGGCTTAGGCAGCAGCTACACAACGCCGACTACAATACAAAACGAGGCAAAGGCGACGCCGCTGCGTTCGGCGCCAGTTTGCACAATTTTTTTCGCACGCTTCATTTTGCCACTTACATTTGCTTCAAGTGCAGTGCGGTTAACAGCAAAATATGAATATTAACTGTACAGAGGCGCAAAAAACAACTCGTTAGCATGCAAGCCCACACATCCACAGGCGCGCACACTATCGTACGCGCGTACACACTCACACAAATGGCGTTTACTTAAAGAAACAAACGTACACAAAAATATTCAATGCGCAACGCCCGCTCACATCAACCGCTCGCGACAAAAACAATTCGGCAACTGTTTGGTGAGACCAGCGTGGTGCAACACAAAAAATAATTTATTTCAATCGAGCAGTGTGGCCGTGACGCGGTCAGAATATATTCGATAACTTCTGTTAAAAAATTTCAAAATTTTTGTTGAGCAGGCTCTCTGTTAATGGGCTGTAATACTGTTAAAGTCGTTCATTTTTATAATGAAGGCTAACAGGTTTGCTGGTAAATTTTTCAATAATAGCAATGTTAATATAATTGAATTTTGGCACGAGCACGAACATTTTTTCTGTATTGACAGGTTAACGCAGATAAGATACTAAGACAGTGAAAACAATGAAGATATGCTCAAAATATAAATTTTGTGGGAATAAATAATGTACATGGTAATATGTATGTAATATATTTGATTAGTCAACATTTAGATTGATTCATACACAAATCAAGCTGGCAAAATTTCACAAATATGTGATGTCACGCAAGCAACCTAGCAAACCAATTCGAGCAAGAACCTATTGTGTCAACTAGCAGTGAATTCTTTTCCCAGTTGCAGTGGTGAACTCAAAAAGGCACTGTTATCTGATGCGCTAATGTAAATTTCTTATTTGAAGTTGGCTGCGCTACATCGTCAGTGCTGGGAAACGTAGACCAGACAGAGTATTTGGCGCGTTTTTTCAAATATTTAGCAAAAACGTTATGTCTAAAATAAAATAATAGTAGTAAATATGTTTAGGTTATAAAATAATTCAATGAGACTATCTTCAAAATTTTTATTAAATAACATGTCAAAATAATTAAATTAATTAAGAGAAATTAACTACTGATTGAGCATGTTTATTTTTAATTGAATTGAATTCATTATGCAAAATGATACAAAGTTAAATATAAATCGATTAGTTTTATAATTTCTTACAATACTTATGTGTACACATTTCCCACAGCACAGAGCCTTTGCGCTCGGCTTAGTAACGCTGTGGCGCCTTCTTTTTGGCAAGGGGCGTGACAAGTGCAGAGGCAGGTGCTTATTTGGGCTGCTGCTTTTGGGCACGGCCAAGCGATCTTGAGAGACAACAAATAAGGAAAACAAACGGCGAGTGCAAACAATCCAAATGCAACCTCAGCGCTGACATTGTTGTTTGTCTCGTTGTTTGTTTAGTGCTGTTGTTGTTATTCTTGGCATTGTTATTGTTGCTGTTGTTGTTGTTGCTGGCACTGACAAACACAGCTGTCGAGTGCGGCGCTTAAATGGCAAGTAAACTGCAACTCTTTGCTTTGCTAATTTTACGAAAGGCGCCTCCACAATTGTGTGGGCGGGTATTGAGTGAGCCAGAGTGAGCCAGAGTGAGAGAGAGAAAGAGAGCGCTGCCAGCTGAAAGTGTTTTGTGGGGCTGTGGTGGGCGTGGCTGTGCACTTGCTGCTTATTATTTGCACTCGACAAGGCCAGAAGCATAATAAATTGAGTGAGGTGGGCGTTGGTCGTGGCGTGCGGGGGCGGTGGCGGTGGCGAGGGCGTGGCATTCAGCACACTTGGAAATCTTTTATTCATGAATGCCGTGCCGCACCCCGCACCGCCAGCCCATAAAATTGCACAATTTGAAGAGCCGCCACCGCCAACACCACCGACGGAGACATTTGGCCAAAAATGAAAAAAAAAAAAAATGTGCAAAGAAAAAAAAAACACACACTTTTTTTCGTATGCGCCTCAAGGATTTCGGCAATGAGGCTTGGTCCTGGGTCTGGCTGTTGCTGTTGCTGCTGCAGGCGATAGTTGCATAAATCATAAAAGCCATAGTCAAAGATGTTGCTGTTGCTGTTGCTGTTGTTGTCGTTGTTGTTGTTGTTGTTGTTTTTGTTGCTGTTGCACGCAAAAGGACTTTACGACACTTAAGCAGCGGCGCATTGAGAGTCACCAAGCATCTGAATTTGATTGCGCGGCCGCAACGTCTGCTGGGTTAACTCCTTCGCCTCGCCCGCCCGCCCCTTATTTATGAGGGTCTGAGGCGTGCCCCTCTGGCTGCCTCAGGATTTAATATGCAGGCTCGAGCCGAGGCTGTTTCAGCTTTATTGTGCCCAAATTGCTTCGCCTCCCAGCGACCTCGGCCAGAGAAGTGCGGCCCTCTCTGTGCAACAAGTTCAGGCCCAGCGCCTCAAATAGCCACCAATCACATGTTTATTTGCGCACAGCTCGGGGCGGTCTCGATAATAATGGAAATTGCTTCAAAGAAAAAACAGAGCCAAGAGATTTAAGCTGGAGTCCTACACTTATAGTTGAAAGGCTTTTAAATTAAATAAACACGAGCTGTTTGCACTAATGGTTTTTACTAATTAAAACAAAAAAATAAAAAATATATATATAAATAAAAATAAAAAATAAAATAAAATAGTACAAAATATATATATTTAAATTATGCATCATGATTTTTTTAATTATTATTAAAAAAAATAGGATTTAAATGATTTCCATTTTCAATGGGCTCGGGTTATAAAAAAAAGCAGCTGTTTGGTTTTTTATTATGTATATTATATTTGATTTATATAATCATATAATTAATACAAAATTAAAACTGACTTAAAATGTTTTAGTAGTATTATATTTTTAAATATAATCCATTAATAATTAATGATATTTTACCTTTTGTACAGATATTTCCTTTTTTACATTTAATAAAAAAAATAGTTAGTCATATTATTTTCATTTTAACTTAACTTTAGTTGATATCTATTGATACATTTAAACACACATTCAACAATAAATTTATATGCATGAAAATAATACAAACTTTTTAGTAATTTATTCTTTTAATTTATATATTCAATCATATGCTGATGAATTTCTCTGGTTTCTCTATTAAAATTCGCTCACTCTATATCTCAAATAAATGCATCATAATAATATTAATGCTGTTATTGACGTAATGATGCATTAATTTAAGTTATGCAAAGAAACATGGTTAATGTTAAATTTCAATAAAAAAAAATAAATAAATAAACAAAAAAAAAAAAAAGAGTTAAAATTGGCCACATTTTTTATTGACGTTCGACCGATTCCACATTTATTTAACAGTTGTTATTTTAATGAGATGAAAATAATCAAAACAATGATGACGTATACATATACATATATATGTATGTGTATATGCAGTTACTTTTGCATTAATTTTTTCGCATATCAAACGAAACATTACAATTTTCATGAAAGGATAGTAATTTTATCATTTGAAAAAAGCAATCTCATTACTTCACATAAATATACAGATGTCGAAATATATATAAAATATACACAAATATACTTACATCCATTTATGGCTATATATATGTAGCTCCATAAGCCGTGAGCATATTTTGCATATATGCAAATTCTTAATTTGATTGAATGGGGATATTCGTGGGTTACGATCGCCTCTTACGTCCATTTCAGATTATTAGCTGGCGCTAAACGGTACTCAAGGAGGCGGAGCTGCCACGCCTGCCAACGCCGCTAGTCGCCGGCGGCACGCCCTCGCCCCCCTCCACCCCATGCCCAAGTATCTCACGCGCAACCCACTTGTGAGCCGCGTACTTAATTTATGACTTGGCCTGCAATAATTCAAAGTCATAGGCCTCCGGAGACCATTCAGAACACTCGACCGCTGGCTATGGCCAACACTTCGCAAAACACCAACAACAACAGCAGCAGCAGCATAAACATAAACAACAATAAGAGGAAGCAGAGCAACAGGGCATACCACACCTTGAGCTGTGAGAGCCTGCCCGCCAGCATATTGAGGCTAAAGAATTTTTAATTAAAATATTAAAGCCTCAGCCGTGAGGTGTTTCTAATCTTGAAAATTGTTTTAATTGTTATTTAGGATTTGTTGCTTTTATTGCTGTTCTTGCGGCGCAATTTATGTGCGCCTAATTAGAGCAGACAGACGCGATGTCAGAGGTGGCGTCCTCTCACTTGTTGTGCCCGGTCATCTAGTTTGTAGAGAGTATATTGGCTTCGAATGACTGCGAGATTGGCAATATACTATGTTCTCTTGCCTGCGTATACTCGCTTGATGATTTGCCTAGAGTTTTGCGCGAAGGCCCATTGAATTTGGGAAGCTTGGCTAATCGGCTATTAATTGATTATTATGTATATATAACTAGGGTATATTAGTTCTATGCAATAATTGTTTTTTTTTTCTTTTGTCTGTTTTTGAGTCGAAAGGATTTTCTCAATATTAAAGTCAGTTAACTTGAAAAATTAGTTTAATGAACTTTTGAGACTTTTCAGATGTACAGTAACATTAAATTTTTTTTTTTTTTTTTTTTTTTTTTTAAGCACCCATACAAAATGTAATGTAATTGCAATTTAAAAAGTGTAAATGCTAAATTGTAGATTGAAAATATATCTTTCGACGAGGTGTGTATATATCAGAGAGGTATATTTAATATAGTTAACCAAAATTATACGTAATCCAAAAAAGATCAAACTTGGCGTTACTTTAATATTAATTTAATTATTATTATCATTATTATTATTTTTTTTTTTTTTTAGCTATGTAAGTCGTCAATTAAAAGACTGCAGCAGTTCCTATAAAGTTCACTAATCAACCTACATCTATAGTTAGTTTTTAATTTATTATTTACAATGCATTGTAATATTTATTATAAAGAGTGAAATAAAAAAAAATTCAAAAATAAAATGAATATAAATTTTGTTGAAATAAATACCCTAATTCTTTATGCAAATCTCAAATTGTATTAATGAATTTTAAAAAATCAAAAGAGCTGTGGGCCCATTTTTAAATTTTTTAAAAGTAGCCACAATGCAGGACTGTAAATTTTGACCTTTTAACATTAAAAAAAAAAAAAAAAAACTAAATATATAAATATTTTTATATCCTTCTTCTAGCCAAATGATTTCAAACTTACTTTCTCCCTCTCTCTCGCTCTCTCTCTATCTCTCTCTCCGTGTCTATCATTTGGGTCCACAATTTTGAAAATAGCATCATATTTCTCTTACCCCTCGATTGCTCAGCTACATGCTTACCTATGA